GTAATGATAATTTTATAATTCTTTCGATTTCTCTGCTAGATAACCTTCACACTAGTTGATCAAGATTTGGATCCGGCAGCCCGACAGAACATTGACTATGTGATCAAACCAAATCCAAATCAAGATAACAAAGCGTTTTTGGGAAGACCGAGGGCAGAACGAAACCCTTGCTTTGGTGCACCCAAGTTTGTTTCACTTGACACCCTTGGCACCAACGATTACCTCGCCAATGATTCATTATTTATCAAAATTTCTATATGTCTTGATGAATTATCTGCAATTTAACCTTCCTCTTGTTGAAATAAAGGTAAATCTTGTGACATGACTCTCCAATTCAAGGGGAAAATTGGAAGGAAGGTATTCACGATGAGGTCTCATCGTAAACCAAAGGAGGATTGCCGCGTAGCAAAGACTGTTGAATTGTGCGAAGAAGTCCACTGCTCACTGTCCTGCGACCCCGATGAAACTGTGCTAGGCTTTCGTCTGTACTATGGCAGACATCATTAGAGCAAGTACCCATATTTCACAAAAGAGAGCAAAAGTGAAGTATGGATACCTGCTCTGATGATGTCTGCCATAGTACAGACGAAAGCTTAGCACAGTTTCATCGGGGTCGCAGGACAGTAAGCCGGGGACTTCTTCGCACAATTCAACAGTCTTCCTTACGCGGCAGTTCTTCTTTGGTTTTCGGTGAGACCACATCACGAATTCCCTCCAACCAACAATTCCTTCGAAATGGAGAGTCATGTCACAATATATCACTAAGGAATTCTTATAAATTTAGTTTTTCTTCATATTAAGGTAAATATGTTGACAAATACAAAATCGTTAAATGGGAATTTAATCTCGTTGAAGTATGGATTTTCGAAAAGATAATTCCGCAATAATTTATCCAGCTGGGGTAAATTGCAAGAGTAGATAAATATAATATGTGATATATTCACCCAATTTCGTTTAAGGTGATGAAAGATAAATATAGGCATAGAAAACATTGGGAAATAGAAATCAAATCGCCCAATCTGTATCTGGAGCAAAAATAATTGCCAAAACGCATCTCTTATTGTGGAGGCTTTCATGTCGTGTGAACTCGTGTGAGATTCGTAGGTCGATCTCACCAGAAGACGACGGCTGATCGTCGTAGTACTGCAGCCGTTTTGCTCTAAACGACATTCAGGATGACGAAGTTTACGAGGCATCCTCCCTCGTTTCACGCGAAAATGGGCCGAGATTTTGTTCGTCATATGACGAAAATCGTCAGAGCTGGGACTCATTCCTGTAAAACTCACAAGTTAATATAAAACCAATAAGATTGACTAGTTATTTTATATTATATATATATA